CCCCCCCCCCCCCCCCCGCCGTGGGCCTTAAGGTTGCTGCCTGCCCATCTCGTTGGCAGTCCTTGGCTTCTAGAAGAGGCCCTGCCCATTAGGACAGAAGTGGGCGGGGCCCCTTCCACACTCCCCTGTTCTTTAATCTTTTTAAAAAAATATATTTTATTGATTTTTTTACAGAGAGGAAGGAAGAGGAATAGAGAGTTAGAAACATTGATGAGAAACATCAATTCAGCTGCCTCCTGCACACCTTACTGGGGATGTGCCCGCAACCAAGGTACATGCCCTTGACCGGAATCGAACCTGGGACCCCTCAGTCTGCAGGCCGACGCTCTATCCACTGAGCCAAACCGGATAGGGATCCTGTTCTTTAATCTTAATCTGGGCCAGATGGAGGCCCAGCCCAGCTCTCCTTTAACTAGACCTTTGGCCCTGGCAGGCGCTGAGATCAGAAAACCCTGTCTCGGGGCCTCCACCAGTGCCTACCTAGGGGTTTGGACAAGGTCCCCCTCCTCGCTTTCTCTTCCTTGAAGTGGGAACTGTAGATAGCCCCTCACAGGTTGTTGTGAGGATAAAGTAAGTCACTAGAGATAAACGGAAAGGTTTTTCAAATTGTAGAGTGCAGTTAAAAATAGCAGCTGTTTTCATGTTATTAAGCTCCAAGGGGGAAGCCGGGGCCTCTGTGAGCTACTGATAGCGGGGAGCGTGTTGGTTTCCAAACCTGTGGCAGGAGTTGGCCGGGAGAAGATACTAACTAGCAGGTCCCAGCACAAGGTGCTGTGGGGACCCCGATCCCCGAGGCTAGCTGGATCAGTTTCACACAGCAGAATTTTAAAAGGATTCTCTTAATGGGCCAGGGCGGAGTTAGCGGAGGAAGTAGAGAGACAGGAAGAGATGGCCTGTGAGTTGGGCCTTATAGCAGCGGTTTTCAACCTGTAGGTCTTGACCCCTTTGGGGGTCGAACGACCCTTTCACAGGGGTCGCCTAAGACCATCGGAAAACACATAGATAATTACATATTGTTTTTGTGATTAATCACTATGCTTTCATTATGTTCACTTTGTAACAATGAAATTGGGGGCCACCACAACATGAGGAACTGTGTTAATGGGTCGCGGCATTAGGAAGGTTGAGAACCACTGCTGAAGGACAATAGGATTTGTGATGGCGGAGGGGATTTCAGAGCGGGCAAAGGGGTGGCCGGAGGGTTAGGTTCCTGTTCAGGAGGGAGCAGGTTCTCCCCCGGGGCTGCCTGCATTTCTAAGGGGGTTTCACTGTAGGAAATGGGGAGGGTGCCACCGAAGGCACTGGAGGGCCATGGGGACACGGTGTGAAGGAAGATACCCGTGGTGCCGTGTGGCTGGTGGTCAGACGGATGGACTGGACAGGTGAGAACTGCAGGTGGTCAGGGAGGTGTCAGCCAACAGCCCAGGAGGGAGTGACGGGCCTGTTCATTTATTTACTGATTTATGTTGAATTGAGAGCGTGTGTATTGAAGCTGGAACAATGAAACAGGAAGAGCTGAGGATAGTTTAAGAAGCAAAAGGAGAGAGCCAGGCGGGCGGCTTTGGCTCACTGGGAAGTCAGAGAGAAGGGGCCTTGGAAACAGGTTCAGGGGGTGAGCCCATTGCTCCCCTGGCTGCAAGTCTCCTGGGGACCTTAGAGTTTAGGAGATGCACGCCTGAGAGGGAAGAGAGGTGTGGCCGGTGTGGCTCAGTGGTTGCGTGTCGACCTATGACCCAGGAGGTCACGGTTGATTCTCTCTCATCATTGATGTTTCTATTTCTCTCCCCCTCTCCCTTCCTCTCTGAAATCAATAGAAATATACATTTTTTTAAAAATTTATATAAAAGAAAAAGAAAGGCGTGGGCAGGGCCTGATTTAGGTTAGCGAATTAGAATGGGCTGACCTTGGGTGGGACCAGGACATGGAGAGGGAGGAGTCAAGGACACCTGGCTCCCAGCCTCTGGCCCCATGACGACACCCTCCTGCGATGCTGGGAAAGGAGGAAAGGCCGTGCAGGTCGGGCAGGGGGTGGGGAAGCTGCTGGGCTTGATTTACAGGATATGAGAGGAGACGGAACAACCCTCCCAGCAGATCGCCTCTCTGCTCCACCAAGTTGCGTGTCTCATCACGCCCCCAATTCCTCTCCAGGGCAGGGCCTTGGAGAAACTCTTACCAGCACCAGACACTTCCCTTGACCCAGCCCAAGGGGAGGCACCCAGCAAAGGGGAGTGACCCTTTCCATGTCAAAGGGTAGGTCATGGGACTGTGGCAGGACAGGCAGAAACCTGAACCCCAGAGCTGCAGAGAGGAAAATGTTACAATAGCCCCCCTCCCCCCAAGATCACTACCCATAGGCCAAACAGACAAGCCATCAAGGCCTGCTGTCTGGAATGCGGCCTTGGGCCCTTGCTGAAGAAGCAAGCCACCCACTACAGGCCATGAACTTTCAGAACAATTCTGTGCCTCGAAGGTATGACCAGGAACACCTCTGTTTTACAGATGAGGAACCTGGGATGGAGAAGTGAGGTGACTTGCCTAAGGTCCCGTCATGGCTGAATAGTGACAGTGTGGGAAGACTGGCCCCTGGCAGCCCTCAGGACACCAGCGGGCATTTGAAGTGTCTGATACTGCTGTCCCCCGGACCCCCCACTCCGGCCCTCCCTGCCGGCTGACTGGAGGTTGGAAGCAATATCTGCATTCCCATCTGTGTGTCTCTTGAGCCTACTCCTCCTCCCCGACCTGTGTGCCCCCCGCTTCAGCTACCTGGGCACCTGGCCCTGACGTTTCCTCTCTGGTCACCGGATGGGCCCCGGCTTGTGGTAGGAAAAGGCCGCCCTGGAAATCCCTTCATGACATCAATCCACCTCTTCTGTTGTCCAGCGGTGGAAACTGAGGCCCAGACAGGGAAGTGACTTGTCCACAGTCACAAAACTCGCTAGTGGAGGCCAGAGCCCATGGCTGCTGACCCCTGACTAAGAGTCCCTGCTGCTCCTCCCTCCCCTCCTCTCCCTTCCCTTCCCTCCCCTCCCCTCTCCTCTCTGGCTTTTCAGGTGGGCATTTTGGCTCAGAGCTGAGGGCTGCAGGAGCTACACGCTACAAGCAGGTTCCTTCTCTGTGGTCCCTGATATAACTGCGCGCATGGCTCCTTCTGCGGAGACGTCTGGTGGTGGCCACAGCGCGGCAGCCACTCAGGGATTCTTCTCATCATTGATGTTTCCATCTCTCCCTCTCCCTTCCTCTCTGAAATCAATAAATATATATTTTTTTATTTGTTATTTTTTAAAAGGTCTCACACATTTATTACTGAACCAACCTACTTTATTTTTAATGGTCTCACACATTTATTACTGAACCAACTCACTATTGCAGGGGGGAAATCAACAGAGCAAAATCACAAGTCCATTAATCTTCCAATTAAAATGCCCCAACTGTCCAGACAGTAGCATCTTTTCAATCATTTACGGGTGTAGGCAACCTGGATACAGCATAAATATGTGAGTCATCTCTCACGTGTGATTTCTCCTAGGCCCAGTTTGGTTCTTTGCCATTGTGTCCTCTTCGAGTTGTACCTGATTTTATTACCAGTTTTCATCCGAATCCATTGGGGAACGGGCCGGTTCTGCTTTTGTTTCTTGGCCAGGAACCTCTTGATCCTGAAAGTCTTGTGGGAAGAATGGTGAAGGAGGAGAGAACGCATGCACCTTGATGGCGGAGAAAAAGCAAAATATATTTTTAAAATAAATAAACATCAACCTTTATCACTAAGATTGTTAAAAAAAGTCAAATGAAATCAGTAAATGACTCTTTTAAGAAATATATATACTTATTGATTTCAGAGAGGAAGGGAGAGGGAGAGATAGAAACATCAATGATGAGAGAGGATCACTGAGTGGCTGCCTCCTGCACACCCCACACTGGGGACTGAGCCCGCATGCAACCTGGGCATGTTCCCTGACTGAGAATTGAACCATGACCTCCCGGTTCATAGGTCGATGTTCAACTGTGGAGCCACGCCAGCCAGGCATATGTACAATAATTTTTAAATATATATATTTTTTTAATTGAGAAACATCAATCAGCTGCCTCCTGCTCATTCCCTACGGGGGAGGTGCCCGCAACCAAGGTACATGCCCTTTACCAGAATCAAACCTGGGACCTTTCAGTCCACAGGCCACCTCTCTATCCACTGAGCCAAACCTGTTAGGGCTGTGCAATAATTTTTGATAAATACTAGGGCAAATCTCTTAACTAGAATGAGCTTTCATTGTCTCATTTTTAAGTAGGGGTAGTAGTGTTTATGTCATATGATTGAGAAAAGGTCTGGCACATAGTAACTGCTGAATCAATATCATCTATTAGCCATCTGGAGGGAGAGACATGAATGGATAATTATAGTGTAGGGTAAGATGCTGTGATATCGCGGGTACAGGGTGTATCAGGAGCAAAGAAAACAGAGATCTAAGTCAGACGGGGTGGGGAGTCAGGGCCGGCTCACGGGAGGAGTCTCGACAAGCGAGGCGTTACACTGCAAGTTGGAGCTTGTTTCACAGGCAAAAGCTGGGTGGGAGTCTCCGGCAGGGGAACAACAGGTGGGGGCATAGGTAGAGCCGGTTACAGCTCACACCCGAGCGTCCTGCAGGAGTTCATGTATTTCACGTTCTCGCTTCAGTTTTGGGACGAAGTCGCTCGTGCTCGACTTGTTAGCTGTCCTGTCTCATTGCCTGTCCCCCAGGAGAATGAATGCTCTTTGAGAGCAGGCTGTGTTTTGTTTACGGTTGCGTCTCTAGCGGCACCTGGCGCATTCTGGACATTAAATACATGTTGAATGAATGCATGAATGAATGAACGGATAAATAGGCTTCACTCCCATTAGCTCCCCAAAGACTCAGATTCCCCCGCTTCTCTTTCCCAGTTGTGCTGCTTCCTTACCAGCCCACTCCCTTCTGTCCCTTCTCTGCCAGGCTCCACTGCCCCAGAAGCAGTGGCCATCACACACACGAGGACTGATTCACAAGCCACATTGAACTTACAGGCGCTAGCAGAGGGCCCGCGTGGGTCAGCTGGACCATGACCATGGGAAGATCGACTGGGACCAGGAGCATGGAGCTGAAGCAGGGCAGTTGGTGGTGTCAGGAGCCAGGATGACACCTGGTTCCACGGTGGGACAGGCCTGCCTTGGAAGGGCAGGCCCTGGGACCCTCCGCTCGGGGCTGCCTCGCTTGGGCTGGGTGGGAGGGGCACGGACAAAGCCCAGCTTCTCTGGCTCTGCAGAGCTGCGGGAACCGGTCCCCTGCAGGCTCAGACTGTCCCGGGAGTGTTACCACTAGTGCAGTGAGCAGGTTTCCTCCAAACGCCTAGATCTGACTTTGAGCTGTCCCCTGGGTTGGTGAGGCAAACCTCTCTTTAAATGGTCTACCCCTGGCTCTGGCTGGTGGTTCAGTGGTTAGAGCGTCACCCATGAACCGAAGGGTCTCGGGTTCAATTCCCGGTCAGAGGTACGTATTTGGGTTGCAGGTTTGTTCCCTAGCCCGGACCAGGAACTGAACCTGCCGTCTGAACTGGCTGGGAGCTGGGCTCCGGATAAAACCTGCCGTCTGAACGGCCAGGGGCGGCGTCCAGGCCCCTGTAACCTCTGCTCTTGGTGTCACCACGTCATTCCACGCGCCCTCGCGTCCCAACACCTTTGGAGCGGAGGCTGCGGCTAGACAAGCGATGTGAGCTTCTTCGCTGGGCTAAAAGGGCCCAACTGCCAAGGCCTCTCCAGTTTAAAAAAACCGGTTTAACAATAAAGTAGCATGTGTGCGGTTAAGCCCCTCCCCCGGAATGACGCCATCGGGCCACCCTCTGACGTCATCGCCTCGGTTCAGAGACAGACCCAGTTGCACCGCGGGCACCGTGTAGACGCGCTTCCGCACATGCACTGTCACACGCACACGCAGAGGCGGTTTGGAAAGCTGCTCCCAGCGAGCACGCTCGCCCTTTGTCAGCAACATTCGCAGGGCTGCAGGGAGGGAGGGTGGGGTTGGCG